AAATGCTAACTGAGAGCATCTTGCTACGATTATCTAGCATTTAATGATATTATTGATCACTTAATCATGATTAAGCTTGTTTATTCTTGCAGTCTATAAATTTATATATAATTTTAGAAATATATTCATAATTGTAATAATTAATAAAATGTATATGATATAAATCATTTTTATTAATATTTATTAGAATTTTATTAAATTTACTTATTATTACTTAATATAAAATTTGACAAATAATTAGGTTTCCTATAACTTTTCAATATAAATATCTAGATATTTTTATTTAGAATTTTAATTTCTAATAGCATGAGTGAAAGTATTTTTAATCAGCTATTAATCATTTTAATTAATATAATTATGATTGGCTAATAATCATCTGATATATACATGTCTCTACTAATTCTTTTTTTTACCAGTATAACAAAAAGAAATTCAGGTCCCTATTCTATAAAGATTATAATAAATTTATAAACTGTTTTTGTGTTTTTACACTAACTTGTAAAAATAAGGCAATTGCTAAAGAAACTTATAATAATTATAATATAGAAATTGGATTTTAACTTTATCATAGTCTTTATTTAGAAATTTGTGAGCCAGATTATTATACAAAATATAATAAGGAAAATAAAAGACTACAAAATAATAATAAAGAGAATTGTATTATCAAGAATAGAAGTTCTATAAATTATAATATAATCAGTAAATTAAATAATGATAATTATATTAATTAATTACTTTATTAATCTAATATTTATTTTTAGACTTCTAACAATGTATACTATTATTTACTGAAGGTTTACGTAAGAAGCAGCAAAAAGAGCATGTAAATTTAGTATTAAATCTGATAGCATTTAAAGTTATCATTGAAAAAGAAGGTTCACATTTAATAGGATTTTTAATATGATAATAAATGCGATAATTCCTAGTACACAGTCAGCATATAATAAAAAAGAGGCAAAAAAAATTGTAATAATTTGCTACATTATGGCTGCATAATGAAATATGTTTGCTAATGAATTTGTATTAAATATTGGCTTGTTTTTAGATTCAACTGGCCTAACTAATGAATCTATAGCTACAATGTATAAAATCAGAATATTAGTATGTTCAAGAACAATTGATATATATAAAAAAAAAATTGTACAAAATCATAAAATAAGTATAAAAGAATTTTTCAAAAAAATGTAAATAATATTAAAATATGTAATTTTAAAGTAATCATATGCTAATGTTTTATTTTTTATTTTATCAGTGTAATTTTTTATATATATTTAATATAGATGATTTTCATTTAATTAAAGAAAAAAGAAGGTCAGATACCATTTGGCTTTCAACAGCCCGTCATATAGCAACTTGCATATGCAAACAAATAATTAGTTATTTATGAATTTCTATTGTTTATAATGGTAGTTTAATCTATAATTCCATAAATATAGATGCATCCAACATTAATTATCGTTTAATTCATAAATATTATGAAATTTTTGACAAATCATGTACAGAATGAAAATTTCAATGGATTCAGCAAAAAACAGAAATTGCTACCTTTGATCATATTGAATTGCTTACAGTACATAGTTATGATTATTTTATTTTAAAAAAAAGATAAACTATCAATGAAAAATATGCATCTAGTTAGAATGAAAGAACAAGAATTACATTCTATGGAAAACTATATAGATGCCTTAAAAAATAATTTTAGAAAATAGCGATAATATACTCAATGGTTATGTAGCTCCTGTTGTTGCTGATTGGCCAGGCCAATTGTTTATTCAAAAAGTAATAGTCTATTTGCATGCACAAGATAAATAACAAATACAATTCTGCCTAGTATACAATCTTTTATTCCGATTCTTGGGCCTTTACATGTATCACTTAACAGTAGAGAACAAGTATTTCTAGTGCATTATTCATTTTTTAAACTTTTATTTCATTTTCTTTTTGAAGAACATGTAAAATTAGCCAAGAAACCAAAACCTTGGCGAATAAATCTATTATTAGAATTAACATATAATGGTTGGATATAAATTAGAACAATTATTAAAAATAAATTTGGGCCTTTATGGAATATCAAATGCTACTTGACTTACTAAATAACTTGATTCCAGCAACACTTGATATATATGCAACACTTTTTTGTTCTGGTTCATTTGACGAGTATGTTGAAACCATTTTTCGTATATGGACATTTGCATTACGCTGGAAGCGTAAAAATTATAACAAAAGCACCATTGGTATTTTTATCAGATATTTTCTATTGGGAAGATATTAATCATCCTTTTTTGGATGCATTAAAAATGTTTTTATTAAATTTTAATGATTACCTAGTAGAAATATGCATAGCAAAATTTGAAGAAACATACCTGTAAATGTCAATGCTGATGATATAATTAAACAGGCGTGTGTAATTGTTAAATTCCTAAAACCTTTTTTTAAAAAATATATTAAATAACAATGCTATATTTTATAAAGACTCTCATATTCTAGATGAATTTAAAGAGACTTACCAAACACGACGGCATTATCCTTATACTCTATCCAACTTGATTTTTTAACAAATAAATCAAGTTTATTTTATTACAACATTTTCAAAAAGTTTACCAAAATTGCAATCGTAGCCATGCACTTGATACAAAAGGAAAAAGGAAAAAGAAGCCTAGTACGATATATTATCTAGATACATTAAATCAACAGGTAGATATTAAAAATTTACCAGCCGCGTATCATACAGGACATCCTCCAAGCTAGATGTTTGTGATGCGTGTGATACTAAATTAAATGATGATAGTAAAATATTGATTTATGGGCATGGCTATCATCGGATATGTTATGATAATTTAAGAAATAGATGTAGTCATTGTGAACAATATTATAAACGAGGTGTGTTTGATAATGTAAAATCTTTTCTAGATAGATTACAAAATGGTAGTAATGAATTTATTGAAGAAGAACTAGAAATTGATGATGATGCAGAGGATGAAGAAGGTGGAATAGAAGAGGTAGATAATTTGGATCTTACAACAATAACTTCCAAATTTACAAGTGCTTTGCTCAATGTAGAACAATGGTAAAGAGATTACAATAAAAATACTGTTAATTTTAATAAAATTTTTTCGGTTACTTTTCGGCCTATCAAGTATTAGTATTATATGTTATATAGCTAAAACCTTCAAACACTGGATCAGACTGGATCAGGGAAAAGTAAACGAAAGTAAATATGCTAGCGAAAAGTTTTGTCGATCGATGCTTGATAAATTTAGTGTTACATATATAACTGTGCATTTTTGATATATATCATACTGTAAATTTAATATAAAAAATTGTGTAACCATTAGGGTTAAATTGAATTTCGCTCATGCTATCTCTAGCAGGATGAAGTAAATTTGAAATGATTGTAATATTAATTTCAAGCTCTCTGTCACCTGAAAAATCAAGGTCAGGTCAATAGGATCGTTTTAGTTGAACGAATTTTATTATCGATCATTCAAGCAGAACGATTTTATTATCATTCAAATTTTAAGTTAAGCTAGCATTATAAATTTGATCAGAATTATGGTATAAAAAATTATAATTTGGTCATTATTGGGAATTGGACAAGGTCCAATTCCAGATGATCATCGAAATTTTCTATTTTAAATAGAATTTTTAATTTTTCTTTTTAAAAAGTCCAAAGAATTCCGACCACATGAAAATTTTGTCTGTAAGTCAAATAAAGCGCCATGCACATGAACGAGCATTTTTCAAATTATTAAGATGGAGATAATTGAATCTTTGTGGATTATCAAGTAACATCTAAACTTCGTCTGATTTATTTACATTATACATACACGTCTCACAATTGATCCAAGGAAATCCTGAAATCATTTGTGCAATTTTCGCGCTGATATCAAACTCCGAAATCCCGTTCAAGATCTAAGTTCTTCCTTCTACATAAAACTAATTTTACACTTATCAAAACGAACAATACATTTAAAAAAGTGGAATAAACTTAAATATCACGTAGATCATTCCTTTTTTTGTATAATTCCAGCCGGAGGTAACTGGAATTATGTCATACCGGTCATGCGAAATGCTAATAGTAAAATGGACCTTATTTGGGGCTGGCTTATTCATTTTTTATTATACAATAAAAGCTAATACCTTCTTGTCAAAGCAATTTTCGCGTAAACATCATTGAATTCCTTTTTTATTTACTAATTTAACTCACACTTTTTACGAAAAGGATTGAACACACATTGAAGATTCTTATTTTATTAATCCTATATTCTGAAAAGAAAAAAAATTTTTTGGTTAAATCCATCAATCTTTTTTTTATCTTGTTCTCGAAACCGAACAGGTTTATCACTATATTTGTTAAATTCCAAATCCATCCAAAATTTATAATGAAAAATCAATTTCAATCAAGATTTACTCTACGAATTTAATTTCGAGGATGATCGAAGCCTTTAAACAAACAAACAATGCGCCCTCATTATGGTAATGAAAATGTAAGATCATAGCCTTATGGTTTATGGTGAACCGCCGCAGCATAAGCACGCCTCAGAATTACTCGAGCTTTTGACAGATAAACTGAAAAGAGACAAGGCCGTCAGCGCTTCCAAAAAGGGTATAATTTTAGTAGAGAGCAGGCGTTTGTATTAGTCCCCTATCGGAGAATTTGTCGAAGTAGAAGTCAAGTACCTCCCAAAGAAGGACATAGCCTTTGGAAATCAAAAAAAAAAAAAAGATCCCCTCGAAGCGAAAGAAAGCCTCAATTCATCAGGGCTATGTGATCGGCGGCTTATAATGATGATGGGCTTGTAAGTCGGTAAGGTTCCTTTGAAGGTAAGTATTTTCGCATTGGGTGGGCTATGTTTACGAAACGGATAAAGTGGGGAATCTAATCTTTTCGAAAAAAAAAATTTAAGCATTTAACGGTGCGAAAAATTCTGAGAATTCTTCAACAAAAAGTTGAATCTAAATAATAATTTTATTTATTTTTTTTTATTTATTTTTCAACGATGTATAAAAAAATTACCTTGATTCTTTGGTTATTGGCGACCGTAATTCCTTTTGTAACCCTCGCTCAGAATACTTGCGAAGAAACCTTTCAAGCGACCGAGTGTAGCGTTTGCCAAAAAACGATACATGATGATGGCGCCTTATCTTATTTCACTGGTGTCACCCCTTCAACTCAATGTCCAACAAATATTCATTTTGGCAACGTTATCTTTGAAGAGTACAGTAAAGCTGGTTATGAAGTGTCCGCGTTTAACCTTTCCACCTTCGATCTCGAACCTTTTAAGTCGGCAGTGGATAAGTATTGCGCACTAGAGTATACATGTGATCCATCAGAAGTTGAACAAACCTTGGAAAAGCTCAAGACGGATTGTGCCACTGAATTGTCGGCTCCTTTGGATTTAAGCGCTGATCCCAAAACGCTTGATGTCAATTCGTTGATGGCTTACGGCACATTTCTCGCTTATTATGGTGGTATTCCAGCTCACGAAGCCGTTTGTCTCAAGAACGATGAAGGAGGTAGTAGAAATACTTTAAACAAATATATATACGTATAACGTTGAAATGATTACGAGCGCTAACGATATTTTGGAACTTTTTTTTTTTAAAAGAATCTTGTTTAATCGAAATTTTCACTAATGTGGTTGAATTCGCCAAGAAAGAAACTAATGGGGATATAAACGCTGCCATATCTCTTGACGGAAAGACCTTATACCTACCCGATGGATCCACCAAAGAAATTCCAAAGGATTTGAATTGCGGTGAATGTTGGACTAAAATTGCAAACATTTACTTGACCTATATCGAAGCTCATCCAATGGATGAGCAACTTGAAACCAATATTTTCGGCGGTCCTGGTCAAATGAAAGAAGAACTTTCAGCTGCATGCGAGGATAGCACCGAGGATGAGGGAGTTGATGTTGTTGAAATGAAAATTGAGAAGAGAGGTTCTGGAGGTTCAACCAGGAAAAATGGTCGTATGCTCCAACGCTCACTCTTGAGCGCAATTTGGTAGAGAGAATAGAGAATTATTATAGAAATGAATAGATTACTTTTATATTTATATTATATTTGTCCATATCAAATTAGAATTAATAAAAATAATTGAATTTAAATAACGTAATTAACGAAACATTTAACCATCTTTGAGTGAAATGAATTAAATGATAAATAACATTTGAAAAATGTTCACCGTCCAGTAAAATAAATTCTCGTTGCCGACAAGGATGGTTGACAAGATTGAAGAAATCATGCGATAATTTTTATGTGAATTATATTTTCTTTCTTTATTATTGTGATTATTATGACATTCGGATTCGTTATTCTTAATAATTTCCATCTTATGCTGCGAGCACAAGAAATTGGTTTGTTCAAGCAATTTATATTGTCAGCTGAATGAATTTAAAAATTGATTTACACAAAATCCAATATTGACAATAATAAATTTTTTTTTTTTTTTAATCATAAAAAAAAAATTAAATTACCCATCACGATCTCATACGTAAATACGAGGTATTAGATAATAAGATTTCCTTAAAAGAATACTTTTCGAAAAAAAAAACAAATGTGATTAATAACAATGAAATATATTTTTTTGAGGATAAATGGTTTGGAAATATCAATAAATACAATCGAATATAAATACTTCAAATTTTTTGTATTTAATACTTAAATAAATACAACTATATTCAGAAAAAAAGCTACTTCTATAATAAAGGAGGATCTGGTAAAAAAAAAAAAATATTTAGTGTGATTTTATTAGTGTAAACCGGATTTCTGGGCCTTTGAGCGACAAAAAATTTCCTTTTCCTCAAAAAATTCTCCTTTTTAGGCAATTCGTGTAACGCCAACGACCGGCCATTATTATATGGGTTGATTGCTAGGAAAATCAGGTTCTGGGAATTTTTTAACAAAATTGAGATTTTTATTGCATTTTAGTTTTTGATGTTATTAGATTAAAATGTATTAAGCTCTTAATTTAAGTCAAAAATTTCTCGGAACCTGATTTTCCTAGAAACCTCCCATATACCTTATTATATTTACCTAACACTGACACTGACACTAACACTAACACTGACACTAACACTGACACTAACACTAAAAGGTAAAGGATAAGGTAGAGGTAAAGGTAAAGGAGGAATCTACCTCAAGGAATAAAGGTTGTTAAAAAAAAAAAGATTCAGATCGGTCGGTTCGTTACGGCGGTGCAGTCAGGTGCATGATGATGTTTTTTTCTAATATTATGTATTGTTTATTCCTATTGTTAATTAATTATTTAATTAATAATTTTATTTATTTTTTTTTTGGTTTATATTTTATAGGTTAGATCGGGATATTCGCCAGGGTAGATGGAAAACCGGTACGGTACGATTCGCCACCTTGGATTTTCGTGGCGGCGCAGTAAGGTGGGTAACTTTTTTATTATTTACTTCTTTTTTTTGATTATTAATTTTTGATTGTTAATCAAAATCTAATGGCTTTTTTTTTCGATTTTAGTTAGGACTGATTCCGCCCTTTAGGATGTGACACCTTCGGCTCATCGCGGTGACGCAGTCAGATGCATGACGAAATTTTTTTATTATTGTTTCTATTGTTTATTATTTTTACTAGAAATTCTACCAAGTTTCAGAAACATCAAGTCTCCGGTATATTTAAAATCGCAATTGTTATTATTAATAATCAATAAAAAAATTAATAAATTAAATAGGAAAAATATATAAAACTAAATAAAAATAACGGGAGGGGGTGGGGAGAATAAAAATGTACGAATAAAAATAAATAAATAAATATATATATATATAAACTAAATAGAAAAACAAAAAAAAAAAAAAGAAACTAAAAAATAATAACGGGGGGAAGAATAAAAATATAAAAAAAAAAAATTAATAATCGATTTTGTAAGTTAGGAATGATTCTGTCCTTTCAGATGAACGTGGACGTGGCACTTCGGACGGACCCTTCGGCTCGTCACGGTGGCACAGTCAGGTTTACTTTTTTTTGATTAATAATCAAAATTCTAGATTATTTGACCCGTTATTAAATTACGAAATACATTTCTTGTAATTAAAAAATTAAAAATTATTTTTAGTCCTACATGGATATAGGATTAAGAAAATCATTGATATGGGCAGTTTACTGCTAAAATCACGTTTCAGATAATGTGATTTACTATATTTCGTTGTGAATATTCTTATTTAGATGTAAATTAATTTAAACTTTTTATATTTTATTGTTATTGCTTTTTTCGAGATGATTCAACCGGCTCAGAATACTATAATACATTAAAAATAAAAAAAAAACCTGAAAATAAAGTTCATTATGTCGCTGCAGTCTGGAAGAATCGACCTAAAATAAAAAGTTCAGAAAAAGCTCTTTGCAATGATTTTTTTTTTGGTAATAATTAAAATTTTCTTCTTGGTTGCATTCATCGCTGCGCCGCCATAAAAAAAATCGAATATTAGATACGAAGCTTAAGAAACAATTAATCGATAAAATTGATACTACTTTGTTAAATTGATTCCAATCTCTTCTATATAAACGCGGTATTTAATAAGGATTGTATTTCCATTTTAGAAAACGAATTCATTCTAGAATAAATTTTATCCTTTATAAGCTACATTGTTTATCATTGACAACTGACGTACAACTTCTTATTATAATATTTATATTATTAGAGAATTTATTCTAAGCAAAACCAGCAAACTCAAATTTTCTGCAACAGAATTTTTTTATAAAGTAATCAACGAATAACGACTTCATTTTAACCATTTATTTTATTGTAAAAAAAGAGTTTTGAACATTAATAAAGTTAATAAAGTTATAAGGTTGACCTAGACTTTTGCAAAAAGCAAGTATCTTTCTTTCCTGATGAAAATTAACTCGAAAATTACCCATTCTGTGTCTTGATAAATTTTGTATATTTTCATGATTATTCACAATGAGCGCTTTTCCATTTTCCTATGCTTATTTACCGTATTATGGAACATGTGAATTCTAGTATTAATAATGAATTTCTTGATGCTTGAGTTTCAAAGTTTGAAATTTTATCTTTAATTAAAATAGTTTATTAATACAAGTGAAAATTGGGTGTATTCATTTTATTTTTTAAGTTCTTGTTCGGGGCATAGAACTATCAGTCAAAGACCAGTATAGGTCTATATATCAAACTTAACGACGCGAAAAATATTAAATCAAAGTAAAAAAAAATTATTTGCTGTTTCATCGCAAGCTTATTTATATTATTATTATATGGTTATTATTTTGGTAAACTTTATTAATCGGGGAGGGGTTCTCCAGTCTCTTTACCAAAAGAACAACAATCAAGTTAAAAAGCGAGGCACTTCGGAGTTCTTTTTTTTTTATTTGTTTGCTTTTTAATTGTTTGGTTTCTTTATTTTTTATTTTTTGCGATTGTTTCGTTTTTACTTGTGGGCTCGATCACTGGTCACGGTTGATTTATTATTTTTTTTCTTAAGTTCATCTTTCGAGTTGGATCACTTCGGAATAGGTAAGGATTTTTTGATCGATCGCATTGTGCAGCGATCAAATTATTTAAATTATTTTAACAGGTTTTTTTTTTGGTTTTTTTTTCTCTATAAATTCCTTCATTAGGTTGATAGCTTCAGAAGATTAAGTTCTTTCTTAGTTTTTGATTTAATTTTTATTTAATTAGTAAACGAACTTTCCACTGTGAACAGAGGAAGGCGAGGGTAATTTCAATTATGCCCTTCCAATACTCGCACTTACTGTGCACTAAAAATGATTCCAATTTCTATCGAAGAGTACTGAGAAAACTGTCATCTCGAATAGAATACTTAATCAAATGGATTGTTGAACCGGCCTCGAATATATATCGGTTCTAGTACGGAATCTTGAAGCTTGAAAATCCCGAAAGTAGTTTTGTATTATTGACATCAAGATATAACTATAACGTAATACTAAACCGCGCATACTATATTTGATAAATGAAATTTTGAATTTATATTTAATAAACGTATTTAATAAACCTTTTAACTGTTCTTTGGTTTTTATAATTAACTTGGCTTGTATTATTACTTATAAAAATAAGTATGAAAAAATATTTTAACACCAATTTTATCGAAATCAAGTTAAACAGTTAAAAAAAATTGTAATTTACCGGGTTTGCTTTTGGAACGCTTATTAATGATTAAATACGGAATTGAGGATATTCGAAACTTTTACCTAAATGATATTCGGTTTTTATTAATTTTAATATTTTTTTTATCATCTAAATGTGGGTGCAGTTACTTCAGATGGACCCTTCGGCTCGTCAGGGCGGCACAAGCAGATGGCAAATGTTTTTATCTTTATTTATACTTGAATATCGTGTACATGTATTTGTGTAATATATATTTAATTAATAAAAAAAATTTATTAAATTATTTATTTAAAAAAATAGTCTCATTTTTTTTTTAGATACAAAAAAAAGATTTATTTTCTTTTTTTTTCACAAAAAAAAAAAACTTCCTTGTCATAATTTGTAACATAGACCAACACAAGTAATTAAAATTTTTCATAATGCAATTCAATCATTTTATTTATAACTAATAAAGAATATCAAAACTAAAGCATACCTGGCGGCCGCACACCAACCTAATCTAGTAAGGAACAAAACTGGAAACTATATTCAACAAAAAGCGGTATTAATTTTGGTAATGATTTACACGAATTTTTGCTGCGTAAGGTATGTAATTTACTTCTTTTAAGCAAAATCTACGCGCGTGGTAATTATGTCATTTAATAAAAAGTGATGTATAAAAAATTATGTCCAAATACATAGTTTATTTATTTATTTAGCTTTATATATAAAAGTTTTGTTAGTTTTGATTATTTACACAATCATTGCTATTGTTAAATCATAAGTATTTTAATTGATCAGCTGCGGATTTTTTCAGTATTCACTGTGGGTGACTACGTCACCCACCCGTTTTATCTTGTATTTCAGCAAAAATAATTTTATTAATATTTAGATTTAAATAGGTAATTTAGTTCTGA